AACTAAATTTAAATCAAAGCTCTTGTTTGATTAAAAACATGTACACTTAAATGCTATAAAAATATAATCATTACCAATGATATATACAATTTCTTTGTTAGATTTGCCTTGTGGAATTAGAATCATTCTGGAACATTTCAAGCATACTTCTGCGTTCTATTTGTTATATGTAATAAGTAAAAAATAAATTTTCACAATAATAAATATTATATATATCAGCTTACCTTTTTGTCAATTTCCCAATGTGAACATTGATGAGAATCTGGATATCTATGATCAAAACTTTATTTTTTTTTTTTTTTGATAATATTTGCTTATTTATTTAATTTAAAAAAAAATATATATGTATATTTGAATCAATAAAAATACAAACCAATATTTTAATTTACAACTAGCACATAAAAATGGTAAGAAATCTCTTTGACAAATTATTATTAATAATTTATTATTAATTTTTTTTTACAGGTTAACAATTGTGAATATAAATTAATAGTTTGAGTTTAATTTACCAAGTTGTTTGCAAGTATTAAATGAACATTGATTCCCTTGAGTTGGAAATTCCATTTTTAAAAGGGAAAAAAATTATGGTGCACACGTCAATAGTTCAAATTAAAAAAATATAGATCTTCATTTTTTTATCATAATTCGAATTAAAAAAATTTATTCGAGATGACTATTTTCCACAATGTTCTTTAATGATTTTTGATTTAGAAAAAGGATGTAGCATGCCTTGCACTCAAAATAGTTATAGAAGGCTACAACAATGCATTGGGGTATGGGAAATTAATGAAGTTAGTGTCAAGGATGCAGATAAGGAGTTAGGAAAACTTGGAGTCTATAAGTATCATTTTAACTTAGATCAAACTCCCTCATATCATCATAGTGGATCAAAACAGGAAAAATTAGTTAATCAAGCAAAATGCTATCAAAGAGATGTTTATTCTGCTATAAGATTTTTAATATTTATTCAAGAGGCAATTATTGTGATAAACATTCTTGGCAAATAAGTGATAGGAAGATCTTAACATCATGCATTTGTCAATTTACATGTCCATCTACAATTAATGAATTTTAAACAAAAAATCCAACAATATTGCTAATGCTCTCCCTAGATATATTTGTCAAGATTGTTGTTATAAAAATGAATGTCATATTTATAATCCACCAGGTAAAGGAAAAGCATCAAAAAAATGCTCACATAAAAATGATTTGGAGCAAGCTTTAAGGAAAATTGGAAGCTGGATCACAGATGTTGCAAACTCAAACAATTTTGAAGAAAAACAAAAGTTATTATCCAACATTTTGCCTTCTTTAGTAGCACATTGGAATAATAATGAAACTCCTCAAAAACCCTATCAAGAAACCCCTTCACATTTGCCAAGCCCATTTTTAATCAATACAATTTTGCAACTAAAAGGTGCTGATAAATTACATGAAAAACAAAAGGGTAATAAAAAGGTTGAATTAATGTTAATGAAATCTAAAGCCCAAGTAATTATAAATATAGATATGTTTATTTCTTATGATAAAAAAAGGTTTATATACTAAGAAAGCATTAAATCATAATAAATATTTAGGGTAATTCCTCAATACCAATGACAGATAGATTATATCTTTTGGTTAATTTTCCAAGTGATTCGAATTTAGCTTCAAAGCCTTTATTCTTCAATAAGGTAATTTAATTGTAATTTCTTTTTTCACATGCCAGAAAAAATCATAATAATAAAATCTAAATTTAATTTATCTGAAAGGATTGGTCAGTTGGAAAAGTTCTTGATCAGATTGCAATAATTGGTAAAATCAATAATAACAACAATCATATTTCAATGAATGATCCAAAAGTAAGCAATTTATATTTATATATTATATTTATATTATTATATTTACATTTATATTTATTTTTATATTTATTTTCCAGAGATTGGTGTTAATAAACAAAAAATCAAATTTAACCTTAGAATCAAACAAAAAATTAGAAAATGTTGTTGAGAATTGTGATGATGTGGTTTTGGAAAAATTAGGAAATTTAAATGAATTATTGATTTATCCAACCAACAATGTATCGTAATAAATATTCTTTGATTCATTACATTATCACTGCATATGCTCATTCAATATAGTACCCTTTTTTTAAATTGTTGTGTGACAAAGTGAACATTCTGTTCAAAAAAATTTTTTATTAGTATTAGTGGTGGAATTTTGCTAAAATTTAGAAATACTTTGCTTGATTCCATGTTATATTACAGCACAATCAATTGGTTGTAGTAACAATTGGTCAGCTTCAAAATACTAAAAAAAAAATTTCATGTTGCTTTAAGGGTGCTGACACATATTAACTAATAGCTTACCCCCATCCCAGAGACATTTTGATCACGTGTAGGTATCAACAAAGCACAAGTGAATTAATTTTATTTAATAAATAAATCAAACATTTTAAAAGCAACATTGAAGTAAAAAAATTTTCCTTTATAATATATTATGATCTCTTGAAAATTCCTGGGTATGATTTGCATTGACTATTTCTTGACCAAACAACCTATTTGGTTCCGAGTGTATAATAACTCTTACTTATTTGAAAATTACAAACAATGCATCCTGCTAAAGGAAAATCTAAAGAACAAAACTCAAGGATTCTTGA